TTTTTCCTGCTGATTTCTATGTGCTTGACATGGAGGAGGGATTCTCTCATGGTTCCGCCCCAATCATTTTAGGCAGACCATTTTTAAAAATAGCCTGAACTAAGATTGATGTGTATGCTAGTACATTGTCCATGGAGTTTGGTGATAATGTTGTCCATTTTAATATTCTTGATGCCATGAAACATCCATCTGAGGACAATTCTATTTTTCGTGCTGAGATACTTGATGATGTTGTTGATCAGTATGCTTCTGATTTTTATTCTTTGCATGATAAGAAACATTGTTTTCTATCTGACCTATATACTTCTCTTGCATGCACTGAATCTGAATCTGATTATGTTTCTGAGTTTGATTTTGAATCTGATTTTGTGTCTGATGTTTTCGGTGTTGTACCCCTGGATATTACAGGCTGCGGAACCCCTTCTCCCTTCTTTGGTTCCTTCTGATGTTCAGCCAACACCCACACCAGAGTTAAAGCCTCTTCTAGAGAACCTCAAGTATGCTTACTTGGAGGATGATGAGAAGTTGCCAGTGATCATTTCCACCTCCCTTGATGCTGTTCAAGAGGAGAAGTTGTTGCAGGTTCTAAAAAGGCATAAGAAAGCCATTGGTTGGACCCTGGCTAACATTCCTGGTATCAGCCCATCCACTTGCATGCACAGGATATTATTGGAGGATGGAGCTAAACCAGTGAGACAGCCTCAGAGGAGACTTAACCCGGTGATTTTGGAAGTTGTTAAGAAAGAGGTGACCAAGCTTCTATTTTAGTTTTAAAACTTAATTAAAAATTTTGAAATAGTTAACAAAAAAAAAAGAAGAAGGAAAGTTGCACCAAAACGGCGTAGTATAGTGATACAGTCTAAAACCCATGGCAAGTTGGTAACCGTTAAACCCTAGCCTCTTCTCCCTCTTCGCTTCGCGTCTTCGTCTCTCGCACTTCGTTTTCGCCTTCGCCTCGCAGAAGAAAGAGCGTAAAGGAGAACGAAGATGAGCATGGGCGACGAGAGTGGCGAAGGGAGCTCGAGGAGGCTCCAAGTGCGCTTCGTCACGAAGTTGGATGCGCCGTTCAAAGTTCCCGCCGCCGCCATTGCCATCCCTGCCGACCTCGCGCGGTTCGGCCTCTCCTCGCTCGTCAACGCGCTCCTTCAATCCAACAGTAATTTCAATTTCTAGCGCCACGTGCTCTTTTTTTTTTTTTTTTTTTTTTTTTTTTTTTTTTTTTTTTTTTTTTTTTTTT